GACCGCAGTATTATAAAGTCACATGACGTTATCCGTATGAAATCGCACCTAAAAAATGGTGTTCGGAGACTTTTGGCGGGGGTCTGTAGTAAAAAAAAAATTAATTTGGAATTTTAATTCCTAATTCTATTAAAATTTTAATACGATGTCCAGCCAAGTTTATCCCAATATCTTTTAATTGACCTAATGTTAAATGAGGTAACAAATCAACGGTATATCCATTATCAATAAAATTATTTTATATACCAAAAAAGATTCACCAAGTTGTGTAAGAAAATCTTTAATACTATTAAATTGTAAATTTTTTAACGTATCTTGATGATTAAATTGTGATGATATTTGTTTACAAGAATTATAATAGCCATGTTGACATGAATTATACATTGGTGACGGAGTTGGCTGTGACATTTGATAAATGATTGTAGGTTGTGATCCAGAATTATTTTCAATTAGTGTTTTTAACGGAATACTAATTTTTTGTTTTTTTTGATTGAATTGCTGGTGGTAAAAATGATGTTAAAGGTGGTGGTTTTGATAAAGAAGTTCTTTTAGATTCTGATATATTTCTTTCTGGTTTAGAATCATCTACCTATAATAAATTTAAATATTATTAGTTATAATTAATAATATATTATATAATAAATAATAATAACTTACTATATAACTAGCCCATACTAATAGCATAGAATCATTTAGTTAAATATGCTGTTCAGGATTCTCTCCGTGATAAATTAAACAGTATTCATCTTCATGAAACTGACAAAAAGATCCTGTACAATATGCATTACGTAAATGACTTAATATTTCAGATCTTTTTTTTTCTATCGTCAAATATTTCGCTCATCTGTTCAGCTTTTTTTAATTGCTTAAAAAATAAATATAAATTAGCATTATTGTATTATTCGAAATCATTTAAAAATTAATGCTAAAGAGATACTTACTTTACTGGTTTCTTTAGTTACAGCTTTTACATTTGTATCTTGCATTAAGGATCTCTTTAATGTATTTGTTTTAGTTGCAGATTCTATAAATAAATATATAAATTAATTAAATATGTAATTATTAATAAAAGAAAATTTTTAACAGAATTAGTTTAGACAGTTACCTTTAAAATCTTCTAGCTCAACAAATAATTGTACTTTCTTGTTTCTAAGAAAATTTAAAATAAATTCTCGAATTCACTTGGTCATCAAGAATAGCATAATGTGGAGCCTTTTTAGCTTGTTTTTCCAAATAGAAAAGAGAATTAAAATTAACATCCTTCCATATTCCATATAATTTATTTCTAATAACATTTAATTTCAGGATGTAATTTAATAGAGACTCCAACAGTACTACGATATCCCTCTTCGTTAAGTTTAAGTATAGGAATTTCAATAAGATCTACATTAATTAAAATAAATATAATTATCATTATGTTTGAAATTCTATCGTAATGCTAATAAACTAACCATCTAATTCTTCTGATTCGTCACTGCTAATTTCTTCAATTATTGTTTCTTTAATAGTTTCTTTATCAAAATCTATTAAATATAATAATTTAATAACTAAACCTTTTAGTTTTTTTTTTTATTTCTTACCAATTGCATCCTGATAACAACGTATACATAAACAATAATAAAAGTCTTTATCAAAATCTGCTTCAACATTCCAAAAACTATTTAATTCTACAAATTCAAAATTATCTTTTTCTCGTGCTTCAAATTTTCTATATACAAAGTCTTTTTCAGGTCTTCGGTTTGGGCATTTATGGTTACTGCTTACTATATATCCTTCACAAGTTTCACAAATACCACAAATAACACACGTGTTCTTTCTGGGTTTATATTTTAAAGGTATATTAGTATCTATTATACTTTTGTAAGTCCATTGTTACATTTTTTTAAGAAAACGCGTAACAAAAATGCAAAGAACACGTTAAAAAAAAGTTCAATCTGAATGTTAATGCTAATTCAATTTTTAAGGAGTCAGATTTTATTACTAAAAACGGTAATTTTGTATTAAACAAAAAAATCCAAAATTTCAAACTGAAAAATCACGAAGTGGTCGCACAATTTTGCAATCAGCTGTAAATTTATTTATGCATAGGCTTAAAAGGGATAAAATTGTTCTCGAGATTGACAAATTTGGCGGGTTACTATCATAACCTTCTTTAGTGTAATGTTTTCTCGTTTAAAATATCATTTTAAAACTACAATTATAGTAAAGAACATTTACAATAATTGGAAAATAAACCGCCCATTTTCTACATATTTACCTTCACCAGTTGGTCATCTGAAAAAGGATCGAACAACTCGTTTATTTATCAATGGAGAATTTGTTGAATCAAAGACTGATAATTGGATTCCTGTTTATAATCCTGTAAGTAATAAGAATAAATCTCTTTTTGATGTTATATAACTGTTATTTATATAAAATGATTTCGTATTTAAGGCAACTAATGAATTAGTAACCAGCGTTCCGGAAACTACACCGCGAGAATTGAATGACGCGGCAGAATCTGCCGCCGAAGCATTTAAATCTTGGCGAAAAACTACAATTCTCACTAGACAACAAATATTATTAAATTTACAGCTTTTAATCCGCGAATATACCGATAAAATAGCGAATTCTATCACTGAAGAACAAGGCAAAACCTTAGCTGACGCAAAAGGCGATGTTTTACGTGGCAGACAAGTAGTAGAGAACGCATGCGGTATTACAAATCTGCTTATGGGTGAACAATTAGCTGTAGCTACAGATATGGATACATACACCATGAGAGAGCCATTAGGAGTTACGGCTGGTATTTGTCCATTTAATTTTCCTGCTATGATACCGTTATGGATGTTTCCTTTGTCTATTGCTGCTGGAAATACAATGATTATTAAACCTAGCGAACGTGATCCGGGTGCTATGATGATACTTGCTCAATTGGCGAAAGAAGCGGGTGTCCCAGATGGTGTCTTGAATGTTGTTCATGGATCTGTCGGAACTGTAAATTTTTTGTGCGATAATGAACATGTTAAAGCGATCTCATTTGTAGGGAGTGACAAAGGTAAGTAATCAAATAATATGAATTTTATCAAAGTATTTTAACAAATATTTACACATAAATTATTAACGTACAGTTGGTAAATATATTTATCAGCGAGGTACTTCACATGGAAAGAGAGTACAGGTATAATTAGATATATACTTCCATTTCTTTTTAAATTTTTCACGATTTTTATTCTTATATTTTAAAATTTATTAGGCAAATTTAGGTGCAAAAAATCACGGTGTTATAATGTCAGATTCCAATAAGGTATAGAATAAATGTATACAATCGTTTAAAGTGAAGTTACTATTGACGAAATAATATTACATTTGCATATTAGAACCATACCTTAAATCAATTAACTGGTGCTGCTTTTGGTGCTGCGGGACAACGCTGTATGGCGTTATCCACCGCTGTTTTTGTCGGGGAAGCACGGGAATGGCTTCCTGAACTCGTGGAACGTGCCAAAAAGCTCAAAATAGCTGGAGGATTTGAACCTGATGTCGATATTGGACCCTTAATATCCCGAGATGCGAAAGCACGTGTCGAAAGGTTGATTCAAAGCGGGGTTAATCAAGGAGCAAAATTAGTGTTGGATGGACGTAATCCGAGAGTTCCTGACAAATATAAAAATGGAAATTTTATTGGGCCAACCATTTTGTCTAATGTTACTATAGATATGGATTGTTACAAAGTAAATTATAAAACCTTTTTTTCTTTAACAAAGAAAAGAAACTTTTAATTTAATCATTTCGCATTTATGGTTTTAGGAGGAAATATTTGGACCAGTCCTTGTTTGTTTAGGCGTTGATACATTAGACGAAGCAATTGACTTGATCAACAAAAATCCTTATGGAAATGGAACAGCTATTTTCACAAATAATGGAAGCAACGCTCGATATTTCATACATAATATTGAAGTCGGACAAGTTGGCAGTAAGTCCTATAATTAACTAATACGTACAAGCATATATATGTTGCTCATCATTTTTATTTATAGTTAATGTACCTATTCCTGTTCCTTTGCCGATGTTTTCATTCACTGGAAATCGCGCTTCTATCCAAGGAGATGTTAATTTTTGTAAGTAATGATTTTTTAAGGTGGCTTTTAAAAATATTTTTTTGACTTTTTCTCATTTCTTTTTTATTATCTCAAAAAAGATGGAAAATCTGGTTTACAATTTTATACACAATATAAAACTGTAACTGCCTTATGGAGACATGAAGATGTAAATCATACAAAATCTGCTGTTAATATGGTAAATATAACTTTTAAATTCATTTTTATTATTTTTTTTATACAATTTATTAACCATTCATTTTCAATGTATTTTTGATTACTAGCCTACAATGTATTAACAATAATTTCATATTCATTCAATCATTTGTGTATTTTTAAATAATAAAAAATAAATGCAAATTTTGTAAAATTCAATGTATTTTGGCGTTATGCGTGCCACATTCTCTTGACAACTTCAGTCAAACCTACATCATTGGTATTGAATTCATAGCAACCATAAAGGACAATCAAAGTAGCACCTCTTAGACCCCAGGTTGTTACCTTATTCCAGATAGGAGTTCTACGAGATGGTAAATAATCAGTGATAACAGCATCGAAACCAATATGACAATGAATTGGAAGAATAACACCAAGGCAAAGGTCAGTGATTGGATGTGCTCCATTAATCACCGATGCCACAGTAAGTGGGACCAATGCTGCCGACAATAAACGATCGAAATCCCAATGATAAGATCCCGCAACTTTGTCTCTTGGGGGAAGCACTACTGCTTCATTAACTGATCCTTTGACGAAAGCTTTATTATTAAAGAAATTCGTTATTTTCCTGAACTCAATTAATTACTTAACAAACAAAACTTAGTAAAGCTGTCTTACTGGCTCCGTCATTGACAGGTTTAGTAATCTTAAATGCACAAGCACGACCTAAATAATTTTAAAATTAATTGGATCTTTACTAAACATGAATATGTCCTATAACACAAAAAATATCTGACATATGAGCACATTTTTAAACTTTTACATACTTGCATGGAAACCGGCTGTTCTAACAATGGGTGCTCTGAGAAAGGAATATGTAGGATTAATCAAACGTGGAACAGAACTAAATAATCTGAAAGACATTTTTTATCCTATCTACTATACAGAAATAAAAATTCTTGGCAGAATTTTATATTGTTATACAGTGAAATCTCAAAACTTTGATTTGGAGAAAAAAAATCCACGACCCTGCATGATCAATCTTATCTCACACAAAAAGCGGCGCAGCATGTCCCATCAAAAATATTATTTTGTTGGCGTGATGACCGAAAATCTTGGTGAAAATCGTAAAAATCGTGATCATAATTTCGGCCTGAATTAACATAATTTCAGCCAAAAATTTCTTAGATTTCAATATACCGCATACAATTTTATTTATCTATGAACGAAATTGAAAAAAACTCTTTCTTTCTCTCTACAATACCCAAAAATTTAGAAAAAACAAAAATTTTATTTTTCAAAGAAAAATTATTTTTTATATTAAAACTTTATTCATACAATATGTCTCTTGATATTTTTAAAAACCTTTTTACTAAAGAAGTCTTAGACTTTCAAAAACTAAAAATTACATTATGCCTGAACTTGAAAAAAGAGACTTTGCCATCGTGGAATTTCTCTCTTACGAAACACCAGAAGTTTTCTGGCTTATCAGAAAACTAAATGAAGAATATCTCAAAGCTTTCCCAGCTGAACGTACAGTTCAGAAAATTTTTCTTAACAATAATTTTATAGACAACCTTGCGAGGTCTTGTGCCTATAATATTCATGAAACTGAAACGAGCGACCATGGAATCTATGATACAAAAAACATTATTTCAAATACAATTGAAACTGCTCTTCCCATCAACGAAAATGAAGATATTATTTCAACTATTAACAAAGAGGAATTAAACTTACAAATGGACACACTCAATAATGATGACATACTTACGGATACAAATAATACACAACATAACAATCTTTCTTCGTCACTAATGTCTTCTAACACATAACAACCTTCTTTTGAAAATCATAACAAACTGTTACCAAACAACCAAAATAAAAAGAATAATAAACAAACTTATGCGTCTATTTTACAACAAAATAAAAATAATAATATTTTAGACATGTCTGCAGATCTTATCCAAAATAATAACAATATTGACGCGTCATTACACAATCCAATCAACAATAACAAACAAAAATAAAAGTTATACAAAAAAGATCTTTGTTATACTTTAAAAAATTCTTCTCACGTGACTCAACCTAATAAAAAAGGAAATGTTTTTGCGTCATTATTAGCTTTTATATACCAGGCGATACTAGAATAGACAAATTAAATTTCCTAACTTCTATTTTTTCTCATAAACCTGGTTTTGTAAACATAGACTGGAAATTTCACAATAGTAATACAAACATCTTCATTGAATTTAACAATAGAAAATTTTTATTAGACACTATAGACGATGCTTTGACAAGTCACCCAGAACTTCCATTCAATCTAATTAATGAGACTCCTCCTACAAATATTCATCACAACAATTATACTTACAAATTAAAAACAGTCCCTAGCAATATTACACAGAATCATATCAATATAGCTCTTTCTTATTTTGGTTCAATTACCTTCATTATGGATTAATATAGAAATCAATACTCTTTGTCACGTGATGTTATCATCACGTTTGATAAAGTAAAAAAACTACATCAGTTAAATACAGCTTAGGTACATAACATAAATAGACAGGTTATAAGATGTGCACATATTGACACTTCACTAGAAGAATTAAAAGATAAAAATCGTTACGTAGCTAGTTTTAAAGGTTTCTTGAATAAAACAATACCAGCTGATGCCTTCCGTACCTTAAGAGCTTTCAATGCTCAATCATGTTACTTTTATAATAATATTGCCTATGCTGCTTTTGCATTTGAAGAAGACATGAAATCAGCATGCTCAAAAAAAATTATACACAATGGATATAAATTAGATGGAAGACCCAGAATTCTTAACCGTTCTTACACACAAGCTGAATTAGTCCCTTTGACAGATACTATTCCTCCTAAGTTCTCTTCCAATAAATATCAAAAAAACAGATGCCTCTCATTCAACAATAACCTAAATAAAGGGAAAGGCAAAGATGTTGAATATACATTACCTATTACACAACATATCGAAACTCCTTTCAACAATACTTCTAATCCCTTAAATATAATTCTAGCCAAACTTCAAGAATTAGACTCAATCAAATCTCATTTGGCAAAACTAGATTCTCAGATCCTCGCCTTTACCAATCATGATGGGCCTATAGCCTATCGATTATAATATACTCTACATCAGGCGAATCACAGCTAAAGAGTATTCCTACTGATAACTGGAATACTTCTAACACTAATATAGATGTTACCTTTTTCTTAAACAATCAAATTTCCCAATTTTACGATAATAGACAAAACGATATCAATAAAATAGATAAAGATATCACACAATTAGACGATAATACATATGACAACATAATTAAAGGAGACACAATAACTTTTGCTACACACAATATAAGGGGCATCAATAATATAATAGATCCTATTAAATCTTCACAAATAATGGAACATTTCACACATAACAATGTAGACTTTGTCAGTCTTACAGAAACTTACCACAACTCATCAATGTTATACAAACATAAACAGGATCAATATTATACAACTTTTTGGAGCCAATCTGATTCACTACAACCTTTTGCGGGTGTCACTCTACTAGTATCAAAAAAATGGAATAAATACATTGCTTCTTCATTTACATCAGACCTACAATTGCTTTATATAGATTTATATTTGAAAGGATACATTAAACTTAAAATAATTAGCTGCTATATTCATACTAATGTAACAAATCCTAAAAGTAAACATGATCGTAGACTCTTACAAAAACAAATTCTTAACATACTAGATGATAGCAACAAACAGCACTACCATACAATTATCATGGAGGATTTTAATATTAATATAGATGATTATTATGAACGTTTAAAACTTGACAAGAATCTTGGATAGCGATTTGACTTAGTAAAAGAATTATCATACAGAAATTATACAGATCTACAGTTATTATATAATGATGATATCCTTCCAACTTTCTTTTCACCACGCAGTGCTATTAAAACCTATACACCCAAGAGACTTGATAGAATTTTCTGTTCATCAAATTTCTTTGTTGACCTTCTTTACTGTGATGTTTTGAAACCTCTAATTTATCAATCAGATCATAAAATTGTCACATCATATTTTGTCAATATAGTGAAAAGACAAAAAGCTCAAGCAAGACATAATAAAACAAAGAGAAAAAAATTTAACTTCAATACCATGACTGCATAAAAATGGAAGTTTTTTGCAGAAGCTACAGACATACAATTCAGACAATACAACATAGATAAACTGCTTATACTACCTAAATCGCATGATAATATGAATCATATATGAGAACACCTTAAAAATACCATTATAACTGCTGCCACCAAATCCATTTCCTATAAATGAGTTTCTACAGATCAACAAGCTTCTAAACCAAAGGAATTAGTAACTTTTTATGATCATATGAAATTAATTAACAAAATAGTAATAAAATTCAGAGCCGCTAGGGTGAATTCAAGAACTTAACCTCTAAAAGAATGGAATGCCGATTTAAAAATCATAAATAAAGTTATATCCTCTGCAAAACTATCAATAACTCCTTTGCCAAATATAATCACCGATTCTAATGTTAAAGAAGTTAGAAAAACACTTTTGAAAGTTTACCATAACCTAAAAGCATTCTCTAGAATTGAAGAGGCTAACATTTCACACCAATAAATCAAACACTTCATAGATCAATGTTGCTTACAATACAAATCAAATCCAGGTAAAATGATTCAGTCAGCATTAGGACGATCAAAGAAAATTATAGTATTAAATCATCTCATTATTAATGACGTGAATAAAAAAGTTCTCTAATTAATGATCCATAACTTATCAAAAAACATATTAACAAATACTTTCAAAATTTTGCGATTCCTGATTCACCTGTCACCTTTCTCTTTGGAAGATGGATCGATCAATACCAACTAAAAGATTATGTTGATAGTAATTGGTTTAACAATTTCATGCAACCCCCTACTATTGAAGAATTATCTTCAGTAATCTCTCAACTTCCAAATGATAAAACTGCTGATCTATCAGGAATTCATAACGAGATGATAAAACATTTAGGGAACAATACATATTAGCTACTTTGGAAACTAATTAAAATGTGTTTCAAAATTAATAATATACCTTCAGAATGGAAAATAGTTCA